GTCGGGGGTTTAAATGGAGAGAAAATGTTTTGAGAAACGATGTACAAATGTGCTTTACACAATTGATGTGTGTATGGATTTGGATAACCATTGTGTGAGCCCCTAATAAAATGTTAAAAAAAAAAAAAAAAGACTGAGGCCAGTGAATCAGACCCTGGGCTGCCCATGGCCCTCCCAGCTGTGGCCCAGGCATCCCCAGGGAGCACCGAACACATGTAGTATGTGTTTCAAAGCAACCACTGCCCCTGAAGCAGGCCGGGTCTCCCAAGAAAGAGAGCACATCAGCCCCAGCCTGCCTTGCGGTGAGTGGTCCCTGACCCCAGGCCAGCCCTCCTGGGCCAGTGCCTGCAGCCCAGGTCCAAAGTAGTGCTGGGGATTGTTCCTAAGCAGGCACAGGTAGCCCCTGGCACTCCCTGGGTCAGTGGGGCTGGCAGTGTCCATGGCACTGTGTCTAGTGAGAGGCACAGAGGATGTGAGACATGCTGGAAAGAGGGCCATGAGAGTCTCCCCACCTCTGCAGTCCCCCGGGAGACACTGTCCTCTAAAGAACCACCGTGGGTCATCCCAGGAAAGCGGGCATCTTTGCAACAGGGTGGTGGGGAGGGCACATCCTCAGCCTGGAAGGAGCAAGGCTCTCCAGGCTGAGAGAGTCAGGGGTCCGGTGGGGGCACGGGGTAAGGTGGGGCCTTTGAGACAGGGGACAATGAGAAGGGGGAGAAACCAGGTCAATAAGAACTCAGGGGCTGGGAAGGGAAGACAAGGGGCTAGGTGAACATCTACTTAATTTTGTCCATGTACATATATTTATAGAGCTCATCTTTGGGAAACTTTACACAGTGGAGAACTTTCACCTCTGGCCCACCCCTCTCCTCCTCGATTCTCATCCCCTCGCCCCACCCTGCTCCCCACCTGGTATGCCCACACCCAATACAGTGGCCCAGGGACCCTCTTTCAAAAGCTCCCAATACCTAGGAGGGAAAGGAGCCCACAGCACCCACCACCATCCTCTGGGAGGATGAAGGGACTTCCAGACGCCAAACGGTGTTCACACCTGAGCCACCACCCACCACCAGGCCTTTCAGGCTCCTGAGCAGGGCGTTCAGGCCTGGGGGTGCAGGGCAGAGGGAGCCAAGTAGCGCTGGCGGGCGTGCTTCTCGCAGTACAGCTCGTCCCCCACCCAAAAGTGCCCTCGCATCTTGAGGTTCAGGCCACAGTCGGCGCAGGTGTAGCAGCCCGGGTGGCGGTACCGGCCCTCCTGGATGCGTACAGCCTGGTTCCTGCGGGGAAGGGAGGGGGGTCCTCAGCCTCAGGGGCGCATCGAAGCTGCCTCAGGCTTGTCCACAACCCACAGTCAGGGCCCGGAAGAACCCAAACCCCCGCCCTACCCCGAGGCCTGGCTTGCCCTTCTGCCACCTCCCCTGGCCCCATCACCCTACCCCACCCTGCCAGAGCACCCAAGCCTGCCACTCCCCATGCCAGTCCAGAGCCTCCTAGAGTCCTTCTGGTGGGACAACAGAGGGTCACTGTGGCCACAGGCCTGCGACTTAAGGGGTCACCCAAGAACACGGAATGCCAATTCTCAGAGCCCCTGGCCTCTGGAGTCAGGAACCCTGGGGTGCGGCAAAGGAACTTATGTCTGTAAGGGTGACGGGGGAAACACCTGTTACCCTGAGTAAACTCCCTGCAGAAGAAACCAGGTTTTTCAGCACGCTGCTTTATCTCTGAGCTTCAGGGCCCTAGCGAGCATCCCGTGGACAGGTGAGGACCAGATGATACCCAGGGAGCAGGAGGGATTTTCCTAGAGTGGAGCACCTCGCCACCCCCTCCGAGTGCTGGGGAAATTCACCTGGGGCCTCTCAGCAATTCTCTGCATGACAATGCCACCCACTGAGAACCAGGAGCCCACTTCTGAAAAATCTAGCCTGGTCCAAAGGGGCCGAGGGCGGGCGGGGAGAGTTCGATTTTCCAGCAGGAGCTGCCTCGTGTAGAGGCAGGTCTCCTGGGGCTTTGCGATGCACACAGCAAAAACCACTTGCTCACAGCGACCTTGTGTGCAGCGGAGTGGAACTGTGGCCCACAGGGTTTCCCAGGGGTAATTTTGGGAAGCAGGTCACCAGGCCTTTCTTCTGAGGTGCCTCTGGGTGCAAAGGTGAAAATAACCCACCAGGAAAATCAGTGGGCCACCTGCTCCACTCTGGGGTCCTGTGCCCAAGGTCCCTCTCCAGGCACTCCCCCTCCTCCAGCTCCCCGACCCCCCAGCACTCACGAGATGCTCGTGTTGCACTTCTCACAGGTGTGGAGCTTCGGGGGTGTGGCCAGGACCCTGCCCGTGGGCGCAGAGGTCTGGGGGCTCAGCGAGCTAGGCAGGACGGCTGGAGGGCCACCTGGGAAGGGTGGAGGCAGACACAGCGGACATGTTCTGTCACAGGCCCAGGTGCCTCATCCAAAGTTCAGTCACATACAATCCCCAAAGTGACAGTGGGTCTGAGAGGTCAGTCATGCGAGGGAAGGCCGAGCCTGGGCCACCACCCACCGGGCCGGGCTGAGCTTGCTCCGCACAGGCAAACCAGCCGAGGGACGGTCAGTGCCCCCGCCTTTGTCTGGCCTGCACTGCCCTGATGATGGGGCTCCTGGCTCAGAACAGCCGCATGTGCCTTCCCATGGTGTCCAATTCACAAGGCTCAGACATGTGTCAGTGTGGCCTGGGACAAAGCTACCATGAAGCCCGGATTTTACCGGGCAAACAGTGTCCCTATTTCTGCCCCTTAGGACACGCTGGCTTCCCACAGTGAGGCCCAGCCATGTGCCCTCCCCTCTGTCCCTTCACCCCTTCACCCTCCCCCCACCACCCGTCCCAGTCCCCATCCCTGTCGTCAGCCCTCTCCTGGGCCCGCAGAGGCATTACTTCACAGTGGCAAGGCTTGCTGTCAACCTTCTCCCAGGAGCTAGCTCTGAACAGCACAGCTGGACCAGCCACTAGTAGTGGCCATCTGCCTCTCAAGCCCTTCTCCTGACCCCAACCCCCCCTCTCCATCCCTAATGCCGCTGCCCAGGTCAGGTGCTCCTCATCTCACACACACACACACACACACACACACACACACACACACACACACACAGCTGTCCAAGCAATGTCACCATTCTAAATGACTGAGATGCCCCAGCCCTCTCTGTCCTGCTCTGTGCCAGCCTGGCCAACAAGCAAAGCTGGCCATTGTTGCCCAGTGCAGGCACAAAGGACTGCCTGCAGCGTCTGTGCTGCCACTCTTGGCATCCCTTGCACTGCCCGGCATGGTTCCTTGCCTGACTCTCCCAGGGACGGGCTCCCCAGCCTGGCACACAAGACCCTCCCAAGAGATGCAGCCTCCACCCCTGCCAGTCCACACCCAAAGCTGGCCTGCTGGCAGCCTCTGCAGCCCCTGGGTCTCTCTACCACTGTCTTAGGTTGAAACCTCCATCTTTCTTCAAGGGCCAATTCCCTCTCCCTCCCAAAAGGCCCTCCCGGGCCTGCTCCATCATCACACACACCCCTCTCTCCTGGCCCTGGTGGGCACCGCCTACTGCCGCCTTCTGCATAACCCCTACTGGGCAGCAGGCTCCATATCTGACCCCCTCGGTGGTGCCCAGTCCTGTGCTGCACTCCTAACAGGCACCTAGGGAAAATGCACTCAGCCAAACGCCCAGTCAGCACCCCGGGGTGTGCTGGGGGCCCTGCCCCTGCCTGAGTCCCTGTGTCCACCTGTCTGCCCATCCCTCACCTCTCTCTTCAGCCTCGAGGGCTTCCTGCAGGAACCGAAAGGAGCTGGATTGCCGGGGAGCCCCCCGCCCCTCACGGTTTTCCTGTAGCATCTTGAAAACTTCAGAGTCCTCTTCCAGGAGGCAGCTCCCTGCTTCTGAGTCTGCACTGTGGGGGTGGAAGGCGGCCAGAAATGAGGCCCCTGCCCCCTCCCCCCAGGTTTAAGGACGGCCACAGCGAAGAGTGTACCCCGTAGGAAAGGGGCGCCACCCCTCCCCGGAGACCAGGGACCCCCCACCTACCCTTCCCAGCCCCTCTGAGATCCCAGCCCGACTTGTCAGGGCCAGTGGTACCTGAGCCTGGAGGACTGGGCGCCCTGGGAAGACGGCAGGACCCACACAGCCGAGTCGCCAGCGCGGCCCTGGCCAGCCTGTGGGGAGGAGAAGCAGCCAGGGGAGGAGTCAGTCAGTGGCTGGAGCCGCGGACCCACAGCTCCGTCGGCCAGGTTGGCGGTTCCCTGGCTCCAACACCAGAGGGCTCCCAACCCCCATTGACCAGCAGGCCCCGCCACCAAGTGGCCAAGGGCCTGAGCCTACCCAGGACTGCTTGGTGCCAGGAGGAGGGAAAGCGGCAAGAAGCCAGGGAAGGGTCAGCTGGGAAGGGGAGGACCTTGTCCAAGCTTCAGAGGCCTATGTGGGTTGAGAGAGGTGCCTGGGCTGGGGACAGAATGAAGGCCACCTGGTGACGGGCCAAGCATGACTGTGCTGCGTATTTCCCTGATCTGCCAGGAGGTGGCGATCCCCAGTGGTGCAAAGGACTGATGTCCCCGGCTAGCAACTCACAGTCCAAGCCCCCTCTGCCCCCCAGCCCCAGAGGCAGCACCTCAGAAGGGAGCTCGGGAGGGTTTCAGATGACATCCGGTCCTTGTTTTCGTTTCGTGTTGCTATGTTTTCAGAAGGAGCCCTGGCAGCGGCAGAGTTGTTACACATTGGGCTGTTCACAAGGTTAGCAGTTCAAAACCACTAGCCGCTCCGTGGGAGAAGGATGAGGCTTTCTACTCCCATAAAGAGTGCCAGGCTCGGAAACCCCCAGGGGCAGCTCTCACCTGTCCTATAGGGTCACTCACTGAGTCAGAATCAACTCAGTGGCAGTTCATTTGACTTTTGAGTTTCTTTGCTTGGCTTTCAAAGATGCTGCCCGCCAGAGCCTGCCTCCACTCTGAGAAACAGGCTGACCCTGTGGCCGTGAGGAGGCAGAAACATAAAGGGTGAAGTGAAGGGGCCACACAGAGTCCGAGGCCCCCCAACTCTACACAGGCGGCCCCTCTCCAACTGCCCTGGAAGGTCTGTTCAGGCCATGAGCCTTGGAGAGCGGGGCCTGTCTTGGGGCCCACACTCCTGCAGCAATGCCAGCTCCTTAGGTGTGCCCCGTCCATCTGGGCAGGTACATTCATTTGCTCCCTGCATGCCAGTCTTGCCTTCAGAACATTCTAGAGACAGCAGGGAAGCCAACGGTTGCCCAGGGGCTTGGAGGGTGAGGTGGATGGTGGACCACATAACACAGGAAGGGCAGCCTGTAAGGGCATCACACACGTGTCCAAGCCCACAGGACTTTATGCCGGGAGCGAGCTTCAAGGCTGACCGCTAAATTCAGGTACTCACAGTGGAGCGATGTTTGTTCAGGAATTGTAATACACGTTCCACACAGATGCAAGCCCACTGCCACCAAGCCCATTCAGACTCACAGTGACCAATGCAAGGTTTTCTGGGCCTGTATGTCTTTATGGGAACAGACAGCCTCTTCTTTCTCCCACAGAGCAGCCGCTGGGTTTGAACCAACAACCTTGCAGTTAGCAGTGCATCACACGCCCCCAACGGTGACACCAATCATGGGGGAAGGGAGGGATGACTGTGCATGGGCCAGAAAGGGCACAAGGTGGAGTCTTTCTATATACCCACAACTCCTCTGAAAAATAAAGTCTTTTCATTAAGTTACTCTCGGCCACACTGCTCCGCCCCCAACAGAACAGAGCCAGTGGGACAGCAGCGGGTCCTGTGCCAAACCAGGCAGGCTGGCACAACGGCCTGGGAAGCCACATTCGCTCAGTGGCCAGTAATTGTCACCATTATTTTAAAATGCAAAGTCATGCATGAATTATGGGGTAGAGTGAAAAATAAAAAAGGCATGATTCTTTAGCTAAAAGAGGAAACTCCAGAGAGTCTGGGGAAGATAGCCTTAAACTCTCAGCCCCTGCCCCCTGCCCCTTCCTCAGTTCATGTTCCTCTGTAGTACAGGGCTGTGAGGAGGGAGGGAGAGGACCAGGGAAGGCAGCGGGGGGCAGGGCTGGGGTCCTCAAGCAGCCTCCCTCCCGGGTGCCTGGCCTTTGAAAGAGTGCTGTCAACCAGCCACCGTGTCTTTGTGTGTGCCCAGAGGAAGAGTGCTCTCCTTCCTTTCCACCTTCGCATTTATTCACCTGTGCCTGCCTGGAAGGACAACTTCTGAGTCTCTGAGAGACATGTCAAATGGGCTGAAGGAGGGGAGGGGGCACCCTGCATCTCGGGAAGGCCTACGCCCCTCCTCGCCCCTCACCACCTCTGCCTTTCCAGCCTGCCCCTGTCCTCACCTGTGGGTCCAGACCACCAAGCCAGCCTGCTGCAGAAGGAACCCCCACTCCCTCGCCTGGAGAGGTCTCCCCTCTCTGCTCTCTTCCTTCCCTCACAAGAAGAAATATTCACCTTTAAATCAGAGGAGCCGCTCCCTCCTCACCTGGCCTTAAGAGTTAGCTGTAGCCAACACCTCTCTTGAAAAAGAAAGGTGTTCTGGGGCACCCAAGGCCCTCTAGATGCTAATGGGCTGAAGTAGGGGTGGGGCGTGGGGAGAAGTTCTGCAGCCCAACAAGTTTGAGAACTGGACGAAAATAAGTAGGTTCCTTTCTCACGGGAGTTCTTAAGCCCTTAAGATGCTGAAGTGCACAGCGAGCCCTGAGAGGGGGCTCAGGAGCTCAGGCTCCCACGCCCACTGGCCCTGCCTGTAGGCCTGGATGTCAGCTAGCCACGCGCTCGCCTTTCCACAAGAGCATCTCCTGGTCCCACAAGCCTGTGGGGCACAGAACAGATGCTCACTAAATATTTGCCAGAGGAATGAGGAAATAACCCAGGGTTCTCAGGGTCAAGGAAGGGAGCTTTGTTAGAGCAACGCTGCAGGCCCAGGACTGGGCCAGGCCTCCCCAGCACCCAGCTGGCAGCTCCTCCCACAGCAGTGCAGGTCCCTGAACTTGGGTGTGCATCCGCTTCCCCTCTCCTCCCCGGGGAGTCTGTGCAAACAGATGGCTGGCCCTGGGGGGTGGAACCCAGAGCTGCTGATTCCCAGGGGCTGTGGAAGGCCAGAGGGTCTGTCCTTCACAAGCTTCCAGGTGCTGCTGCTCGAGAACCGGGGGTACACTCTCCTTGGCTTGTCTTGGGGCACGAGGGAGGTGCCCAGGAAGACACATGGTCCCCCACAAGACTCTGCCCAGGAGTCTTGGCTGAAGGAGGCGGGTGGCCTGCTCTTGGCCTAAGCCCCCCTTGAGACCCTTTCCCACCCACCCCACCCCCACCCTGGCACCCAAACCCTCCAGGACCTGCTGGTTCCACTGAGTCTCCAGCCCTCTCATGCTCTCTCTCTATCTAAACCCTACGCAGGCCCACCTTCAGTGTCCAGCAAATTGCCAACTCAGCTCTCCCCCTGCCCGAGCGCCTCCAGCTGTCAGAATTCATCCCACACTGCTCTGAGCCTAGCTGATCCAAAACTGCATGTTTGTCTTATCTCTGCAACTAGATGGCAAGTTGGGGGCTGGGGGGGCTTCATCTAAAATGCCTCTGTGCCCCACTCCACCGCACTGCACCCAGTAGACCACCAGGTGGGCACACAGCAGGTTGCTGGGGAACCCCTTCTGTGCATCCCACCCCCACTGCCCCAAATCCCATTCCTTCCAGACCTTTCCAGCACCCTCCCCCCAAAGGCTCTCTCTGGAATGCAAAGTCAGCCCCGAGGTAGCATTCCAGCAGCTGGGCTTTGTCCCCTTCACCCCATGGAGGACCGGACACCTCCTCTGCCCCCAGCAGCTGTGGCCCCACTGCTGACTGCACATCACTCCCTCACCCCCATCTCTGATCTTGGCGAGAAGACGTACCTCCAGTGGGGGCTAGGATGTCACTAGCAAACAGGGGCCTAGGGAGCCCCAGGAAGAAATGGTGTGTGGGGGGGGGAGTGTGGAGGGGAAGTCAAGAGCTACTTGCTGTGGCCCCCTTGCTGGTAACTCTAGGGCTGAGGAAGAGGAGGGAGCAGCCTGCCTGGTGGGGATTGGGAGATGGGGGTGGGCACAGACTTGGAGGAATGTATTCAAGAGCAGCCGGCAGAGCCAAAAGGGAACTGTCCCAACATCAGCAGCAGAACTATTTCAGGCCCAGCCCAAGAGAAACAGTGGGGAGGGGAAGGTGAGGAGCCGAGGCCGGGGGCTGGCTGGGCTCGCAGGGGGCGAGGGCTGTCTAGGCCCCGCAGGCAGGGCACTACCCACTGCCACAAGCAGTGGTCTCCCTGGCTCAACGGAGCAGTCGCTAGGAGATGGCGGCTCGGGTTCCCAGGGACCCAGGTGGGCCAACTGCTTGCCTGAGCCCCAGGGGGCACCACCGGCCGAGGAGGGGAAGGGCTGAGTTCTTGGAGTCTCTCTTCCCCTGGTGGTGGGCTTACCTGTCGGCTTGAAGCGTGACCTCCACCTCCGTAAGAGAAGCGGTCAGCAGCGAGTCCAGGGGCATGTGTCTGGCTCTGGAAACTGAAATGGAGGAACGGACATTATGTGTGTTAGGGTCTCCACCCAGCCTGTCCCAGGGAAGATGGGGTGCCCTCAGAGCCCCCCTTAACATAGCTATTTGAGTCGTGGAGTGGCTCAGCCCAGAGCTCAGGGGCCCAAACCCTGCACTCACCTGCGGTCACTGACCGCTGCCTCTCTAGGGAAGGCACTGGGGCTGCTGGGGGGTGGGGTGGCGAAGGGGCTGCCTGGCTGGGAGCTGAATGAGGTCGGGCTGGAGTAGGAGGACCGCAGAGAAGACTGACTTTGTGTCCTCACTGAGCCCTGTGGAGAGAGGGCCAGGAGAGCTGGCAGCTCTGCCTTCAGAAGTCCCTGCCCCTCAGGCCTCACCCCTCACTTCAG